GTCCCAAGCCTCAGGCGCGAAGAGGCCGGAGTGGGAGCCGCCGTGACCGAGAAAAATCGGTTCACCCTCCCATAAAAAGTTATCACTTCAAAAAAAATTTGAAGATCTTTGACCGTCATCAGCAGAAGAGTTTTTTAGTAACAAACTTTTGGTCAGATCGTCCTGTGTATAAAAAGACAAATTTAAATGCACTTTTTTTATTAATATCACACGTTTCACAATAAATAATCGCTACAAGCAGCTACTGGTAACTTTGGCTTCATCAGAAAGTAACAACAAATAAATACTAACGTTAAAAGTAAAATGTATCACAAAAAGCAATTGGTCAGCRSTWGTTCTAGAACCGACGATTAACCCGTCTCTTCTTCGCACTGAACTTTCGGTAGACAAAGAGCGGCCGGAAGATCATCGATGCAGCTGTATCCAAGTCATTATCCACACTTCTGCGGACCAAAGCGACAATTTCCGCATTTGCTTTTGGTGCTTGATTTGGTGTTGGAAAGCCTTCGACTAAACCTCTTTGAACATTGACGTCTGAAGCTTTTTCCAGGTCTGCAGGAAATGCGGCACTGATGGCCACAAACAGAGCCAGCACTATGAAAGCGTACAGTTGCTGAAAGAGTTTCATGTTTTCATTCGCTAAGTTACTCCAAAACATTGAGGAAACGGATGCATATATGAGTTTAAAGAGAAAAGATTTACAGTTCATTAGAAAAACATCAAAATCAGCTTGGTTGAGTACAGGGTGTTCTCCAAAGAAACCGAGATTCGTTCGTATGTATATGAATTACATGACTACTTTTAAGCAAAAAGCGTTCGTTGCAAAATTGTGAAAAATGTTGGTTGGTTTCAATTTTATGCGTTACTCACGGTAAAAATGAACCTTTAATGTTTTGAAATTCAAATTTAGTGAAACCTTCGCAAGTTTTGATTCACAACTTGTGAAGGAAAAGCCTAATGAAACATTTGGGCATTAATCATTAATAATAATGTTTAGGAACCACATTTATTCGGTGCAAAATAAGTACGACTTGGGGACATTCGTTTTTAAATCAGGAGAATGTTCTTTTTGAAATTTTTGGAAAAACAAAAAATGAAAATTAACCAAACCCCTTATTCAAGACAAACAATAATAATAAAAAACAATAATAAACACCAATTAGTAGCAAAAAAACTCACTTGATGGGACATTTTGTCAATAGAATAAATCACTTGCAGTTTTCGAGCAAGAGAGTATAACAGTGTGTTGCGCTGCAGGAATCACCACACGGAACTATAATTCACATCACTATAGTATACCTTATATAGCTGATCGATAAATCAACAACAAATTTCACGATCATTCCAAGCAGCGATTCATCAGGATGAAGAATAATTTTTGTTTAAACAATTAGCACCTGAAATGAGTGACTGTTGCGCAAAACCCACGCAACTGGTGGTCGATCAAAGAGCCAAACCTTGTTGATTGATCGAATAAAACCCATCAGAAAAAGCCCCAAAAGTGATACAATTATTATTTATAAAACTTATGGTCATTTATTGCGCAAAACTATCGGTTAATTGCCGTGCTAAATAGTCCGATGAATCAGTGGCACGATTTAATTTGATTAGAGCCACTTTGTGCCCCAGATTATAATCGCGTTGCCCTCAAAATTGAGTGAAAAAATTGCGCTTTTCACACATTTTCACTTTTCAAAATGTTGCAAAATTTTTCTAAGGAATTTCTAAAAGAACTACTTAATACACATTTCATTTTAAGGCAAATTTATACAGGATGTGGAAAACTGACGTTTTAATTTTTATTTTATAAGAGATAATGTATGTTTTTACATAAACTGGCAAATTTTTTAAATAGAATATTACAAGTTCATATGAAAAATTTGCAAACTGAAAAATTCAGGATTGCGAATCCAAACTGGTCATAATAATGGCATGCAGCCCTACATAGGATAAGGAACGTATTAATTTCATTTGCTAATGAACTACTTTACAACATGTTTAATGAAGTTTTCGCAAAAATATCTTATGAATGACCAACTCGAGACCATTAAGAGCTCATTACTAATAGTATTTATACAAATGGCAAGCGGAAGATGCCCTTAAATGTTCCCAATTTGTTCATAGTGAAATCAGTGGAAGTGAATTTAAAGATCTAACATGGAATGGGGTAAGATTGCTGCGGCTTTGGTGAGTATTTGTGTGCGTGTATGTAATTAAAAAGACACTAAACAAGCAAATAGCGGTTGGATTTATCCAGGATTCGTACATTAATCCAGTTCGATTGTCCGATTAATGTGGAAAAATACTTTAGAAACCAATTTTAGAGTTTTTTATATAATTCGTATACAACCGCACAATTATATCATTCCTAAGGTGTTATAAAGTGCAAAAATTGTGTTATTTAATTCATCTGATTTTGGAGAACATTGGCCGAACAAAACAAATATTCCAGATACGTAACTTTCGAAAATCGAACAAACAAAAAATGAAAAAATTTGCAACTACGTAAATGCAAATCGCAAAAACAGCATTTATATAATTTTTCCATGATATTTACCTTTATTGACGTCAATTTGAAGACGCTTTTAAACGATCTAAGATGAACAGTAAATAAACGAATGCTTTCTCATTATTCTTTCGAAATTATTAAGTAATTTGTAACGGTTTTTGTCTTACGATGTCTCACGAACTTCAAGTCGAAATTCTGATATGATCTACTTAATATACAGAGTGTCCGGAATATAAATTCTGGACGAAAATCAACTGCGGTTTTCGGAAAAATGTATACTAAAGTTTTTGATAACAAAATGATAAAAATTACTTTGCAAAAAATGCCTAAAATTTTAAAAAACAAACTTTTCAGCAGGTAGGTTTGGGTAGGATTCATAAACCGGTGGCAAACTTACAGGTCCGTATTTGAAAAGAGTTGATGGAGGTAGGCAGAAAACGAAATATTTAATTCCGGAGACAGTAGAATCTTGTAGAGAATAAAATGTGCTCTAATAGTCCAATTATTTAAAAATATATCTCCAAATGAGTTAAGAAAAAAAGGAAATTTCGGTTTTTTTCCGAATTTATCAAGTTTTAAAACACCCTTTTGACCGGCATCAGTCTCTATATTCCTCTTTCTGGAGACCGAACTTGTATGTTATAACGTATCCATAAAAATGACTTTTTACTACTGCTAAAGGGTTCAGTTGTCTATCTCTAAAAATGTTTTGTAACTTCTACTCGAAACGGTTGTTAAAGTTTTTATATTTATGCAGGTATTGTCCCTCACTATCCTTTTAACTTGCTGTGATGCTCAAAGGAGGAATTCCTATTCATCGCAGTTGGAGGGAAGTGGATTTTATGAAAATGAGGTAAGTTCGTCGTTCAACAATTCGTTTCCCTTCAGACTGCAGAGTTTTGAGTGCCCATGCAAGCACGAGCGACTTGCATCGGGACATCAACCCGAAGAAAAACTCTTCAGTTTCAAGCAATGGCCACGAAAGCCCTTAGATATTTATATTGAGATTTCGCTATAAACTACCAAACTTTCAGAATTCGATATCAGGAGGCATCACCATAAACAAATCAAAAGCACCGTATGTGGAAATGTTGCGACTGGTCCAAGCTTTTCTCAAGATCAAAGGAGAGATGGCTGGACGTGTTTGGGCTCTCCTGAACGACAACGCCCACATTGTGGCCGCTCTTCGCGACACTTTGGTCGTGAAAATTGCCTCTTTACACAATTTGACTTTGAATTTTATCACAATCCTGAGAAAAATACTGGAGTTTGCCGTTCCACTTTTGAGCAATATTTCCGCAGGGTTTGCTTTTGGCTAACTCAACATAAACTTGATTAGGAAAAGATGCTTGAAAGACTGCTCCGCCCAAAAGTGTGAAATATTTGATAAATTAATTATATGGCAATTGTTATCAAGACTGTTGTTATAAAGGTTTTATTTTGGCCCTGCCTTGCCTTATGCATGTAGGATATCGCTCCTTCCTAGTGGTGAGCGCAGCAAGATTTCTCCAAGATTTATGCGAGACTCCAAGAAAATACACGCATCAGTAAAGCGTTCTTAATGGGCTCGAGTTTGTCATTCATAAGATATTTTTGCGAAAAGCTCATTAAGTACATTGTAAAGTAGTGCATTTGCAAGATAAATTAATAAAAGCAATTACCTGTTTAGGATTGAATGTCATTATTCAATTGCCCATTGTTCAGTTTGTGCTATAATTTTAATCAATTTGTTAGGGTTAAATTTAATGAAGAATACGATCGACGCAAAATTCAATAATTTTAATGAACGCTGATGAACGCCTTGCACCGTCACCATCAACTCAATAATAATCTATCTCCCCTGGCAACGCCACCAGTTGTTTCTCCCACAGAATATCCCCCCTCCCAGGGATGTTTTGTGTTGTCGCCCGGAAGTASCACCGSCGTACAAAATTCTTGTTTGTCTAGCTGATGAATTGCTGAATTGTTTTGCGTGAATGCTTTTCAGAGATCAAAAAATGTACGCTCTATTCTGACCATAAGCAACTAAGAATGGGTTATATTTCAAATAATTGCAAATCAAATTCATTCCTGGGTTTCAGTCAGTTATTGTCTCTATTTATCAATCAAAATACGTTTCGGTGTACTTTTCCACCATCATCAGTTTTTATGTGTATATGTATTTGATAAATAGAGACAATAAATGACTGAAACCCAGGAATTAATTTGATTTGGAATTGAAACACAGTCAGGAAAGTATATACAATTTCAAATAATGCCATATTTAACATTTTGCTCAGTTACTTAATTGGTACCTAAGTAAATTTAAAGATAGTGGTTAAATTGGAATAACCAATTGGCTCATTAAATCGGCAATATTTCGAAAATGGGCTGATTTACCGACAATAACCAATAATTGTTTTGATGTAGTTTATGCCGTGATTTTAAAACAGTGTTTTTTTTGTCCTGATAATCGTGTTTCACGCAATCCTAGAATGTCCTCTTTTAATATATTTGAGGCCTTCTAGCAGGGTGGGGTTCTAATGCTAAATTTTTCTACTCTGAGCTTGATGTGACTGTATTCTTGTTGGAAAAGAGAAAGCGGATCAGTTTGAGTACCGGTTCATTATGAGCAACCTTACGTGCTCAACGCACTGAACTGGCCTGCAATTTTTTCCGAAAATTCCAGAAAACCACAAAAAATAATTGGGAAGAAAAGCCTGCGGCAACATAGTGAAACATTAGCGTCGCAACCACCCGCCTGCAGCCACTTGACGTCACAGCGTCGCGTGCCTCTACCACTTCGAAATGGACGACCGTCGCGGCAGTAACAAAACCGACGCCAAGATCGACGCTTCGCCACAAACGGCCCTGTGCTCTAACGACGGAAAGTTTCATATATTCGGACAAATCGTCGCACTATCATGACCTAAAGTTCGCAAATCACATTTTTCTTCATCTAGTTAGCTATGCGAAGAACGTAACGCTGTCCGAAATTCAATTGTTCCGAAGAAGTAACGTAACGCGTTCACGGCCAACTTTCATCGAATAATTATCTAATTTGTTGATTATGCCATAAGTTGTCGCTGTAATTGGATCATACAGTCATGAAATAGCGCATTTGTTTCAAGTCATCATGTTGAAGAAGAGGAGGATTTGCTGATGGAATCCCAATAGAAACCAGCCACCGATCAAGTTTGTGAACTTTTGTTTCAATTTTTTGCGATAACAATTGAAGATGAACCACTCGACGCTGTACGGAATGGTCGAAAAAACGTTAAGAATGGAGCTCGAACGCAACATCAGGTCGCCTGGCAATAGTGAGTATAATCAATCCTCTTTTTTTTCCGACGGTTTCCAAACAACTTCGATATTTAAGCAGCGGTTATTTTTACATTATTATGTCGGATCTGACGGCGACTTTGTCACAGTTGGACGGCAAATAATTTATTATCCAGGGAAACCAACGAATATCCGATTTTATTTGATAATTGACCGTATTTTACACCAAATACTCAGTCATCCAGGCAGTAAATATCCAAATGTGACAATGAAAAAATACGTTTTAAATTTCTCGAACCATTTTCTTCACCCAAAATAAACCAAAAACAGCTGGATTTGCAAAAAACCTTATTTTTTACGAGAGCGAAGCAACATTTTGGTCGACTTTCAGGTTTACAACAATTTACTCCAGAAATGAAGCTCATTGAAACATTCTGCTTCACAGTGCGCTTCATATATCTAGAATTAACAGTGAGAAAATAGAGTGAAAGGCTCCTAGAAGCGCAGAAAGTTTCAATATTTGTGCCGCCCATCTGTTATGTGTTCAGTTTTTCGCTATTATTTTCCATCTTTGACTTTTTGCAACTGCGGAAAGCAAAAAGACAGTTAAATTTAAAACTGAAAAATGTTGGCACTTCAACATCCTGTAGCTTCGTAATCAAAGCGGGTCTAAAATGGACAATTATACTGAGTGGATCATAAGAAATGCAGCACAAAAAATCGGCTTTTCTAATGAAACGCTCAATATTTAATTTAATAATAAACCGCAATAAAAATCTAAACGGAAGCGAAGATCAAATGAAAGCTTATTTCAAGAAATGATCCTTGAGTGACAAAAAATTCGGGATAATTCAGGAGAAAATCGACTTATTTTGTATACATGTGTGGAAAGTCGAAAAAAGAAAAATTAGCTCATCTATTCAAGTCCGATTTTATTTTTCTTTGCGTGAGATACTTGGATTAAATCTAATTTAAAAACTCACAAAAACATAATGAACAAACAGAATTCATTCATCACGATTAGGTTATCTTTCTAGACTTTCCACTTTTTAAAACATGTCCATTTGCTTTCCTACCAGAATTTAATCTGGGAAATAAATGGAAATTTAATTAACGCAGTGTGAGTTAAATGTGAATCATAATATTGGTAAGTTTAAACTCCCCAAAACTGTTCAATTATACGGCGCCTCAAGCACTTTTTCTATTTCTTCTTCAAGAAATTTCGTACGAATTTTTTTTTGAAGTGATAACTCTTTATGGGAGGGTGAACCGATTTTTCTCGGTCACGGCGACTCCCACTCCGGCTTCTTCGCGCCTGAGGCTTGGGACGCACATATGCACTTTTTTCTTAGTCCGGGTGCATCTGTAGATCTGATAAACTTTTCAAATACACATATTGAGT